GGGGGTTGTGATGAGGGGGGAGGGGGGGAGGAGAAATAGCCAGGTGACTTTTGTTAACAGATTTACAATCCAGTTTCCCAGAGTCGTCGAGACTCTTAAATTGAGATTGAGATTGAGAGTAATGGATTTGGGTACTACCCATATATATTATAATTGATGTGTGTGAGTGAGAGAGAGAGAGAAAGAGGTGGTGGGTAGAGTTTAAAATGTGGTACTGGTTTAGGTTGAGGGGGGCTAGGGGAGTAGGGGAGTGTGTTGAAGAGGGAAGAGGGGAAAGGGGGTATGTAGGTTATAAGGTATAGGTAGGTAGGTAGGAGTACCTAGGTAAAGAATATAAAGAAAGGGTTTTCCACGGTTCCACCAAATAGAGAATGAAAAATAAGGGCATGTTTGGCTACGCAAATCTCTCCATGTAAATTAGGTGCAAAAGTCTAAGATTTGCACAAGCTGGAGGACTCAAAGACGTATGCAGAAGTTTCCAGATTTGCATGCAAATTAGACTATTCTGACGAAACAAATGCACCACTGTTTAGCTAGTGCCAAAGTTTTTCTATTTCGTCATATATTCGTCGATTTTTATAGGTTTTACACAGAGGTTTGCGCAAAAGAAGAAGAATTAAAAGGTTAAGCCTTAAATCCTTTTATATTCCTATTTTAGTAGTACAAATCTAGAAAGATTTGCAATTAGATCTACTGTTTACAGCGGATTTGTAGCTAATTTAGTCGAAAATATCTAATCCTATCCAAACAAGTACGCATATTACGATCTATATAGAAATTATATATATTATAATATACATGTAAATCTTTTTGTATCGTGCAAATCACCTAATTTGCGTAGCCAAACACGCCCTAAGAAACGATTAGTAACAGAAGATCTAATATATAATAACACTAATATAAAACTCTCGCCCTAACCCTAACCCTAACCCTAACCCTAAAATAACTACCTACCTACCTACCTAGCCAAGTACTTACCTAAAACGTAAATCCCTAACCTAAAATTATAATAATTATAATATAAGAAACGTAGCGTAAGATGAAAAATATGTAATTTACCTACCTACCTACTTATCTACTATTTCACAAAGGTATCTACCTAAATATACACTACCTCCCCTCCCCCCTCCCTCTCCCTCATACCTCCCTATACCCTTCTACCCACCCCCCTATATATAAAAAACCCCATACCTCTTAACAAACTTCTACTATACACTACTATACCACATCACACCAAACACTCTCCCATACAATACCTACCTACCCCCCTTCTCCTTCCCCT